GTCAGAGGCCAGCCCGCGGCGGGTGGGCGCGGCTCAGGGCCCTCCGGCACCAGCATGGCCTCCAAGGCCAGGAGGGGGTCCGCGAGGTCCGGGCCGTCGGACCAGCGCCTCTCGGAGACGGAGCGGCAGGCGCCCGCTGTGGACATCCCCAAGGAAGAGTCCAAGGCGTCCGCTGCGTCCGCACCCTCGACGACCTTCGCAGCCCCATCACCGGACTCCGGGAGAAAGCCGTCTGAAAAGCGATCCGGAAGCTTGAGCCCGAGAGAAACGACGTCTCTCATCTCGAGATTTGAGTCCAAGATGTAGGTACCAATAGCATGCAGAAACCTAAAATTTTACTCTATGCAAATACAGGGTGGTCGCCCAGTCCCGTTGTAGCAAAATTGGTAAACAAGCCCGCATGCAGTTACACCAGGTGGCTGATTCACGCCGCACACTTCTGTAGGTATACTGTACCGCATGCACGAGTGCGGGCGGGTTGCCTACTCGCTCGGCTCGCAAGGCGCCGTGGACAGGGGCGATAGGCAAGCCCGCCCGCACTCGTGCATGCGGTACTGTATAACTACAGAAGTGCGCGGGGTTAATCAGCCACCTGGTATGTGGGCGGGTTTGCCTATCGTCACTGACCAAGGCGCCTCACGGCTCCGTGTCCATAGGCAACACGCCCACTCCCTTGCATGCGGGCTGGTATACAGTTTGAGACAACGGCTGGATGACCACCCTTTAATCCTTTCGAACATAGTTTGTGGATCAGGCGTCGAACGACGCTCGAAAAATGTTACTAGGACATAGGATTACTTTCATCGCTTTTTTCACCGATTTCACCCTTCGACGCGCATCTCTGGGGAATGGACGTCGAATCATTTCTAGCTGGGTACCACGGTACACCAAGGATGTCACTGCGCTCCGTGAACTCCGTGACTCGGCAGGGCGTCCGCGGGCTCCATGCTGAGCGGGCGGCGTCCCCGCTCCGCCGTGTCCATGCCCGTCACCGCGCCGGGCACCCCGAGGACCGTGTCCAGGGCCTCCCTCGCCTCCCGCGGCTCCAGGGGGTCCAGGGGCACCTCGCAGACCGCCGACTACGGGCTGTCCCCGGGGCTGCAGCAGCTGATCGCGCGCCTTGTCCAGTCCAAGGACGGGGTGAGCGACCTCAACGTGCTGGCGTCGTGGTGCCCAAGCCCACCCCGAGCTCGGCGGCTGCTCTGCACCCCTGACGCAGGGCCTCATCGCGTACCTCAGCGCCATCCCCGGGGAGCCGCACAGCGCCAACAAGCCACCCGCCGCCGTCAACAAGCTGCAGCAGAAGGGCGCCGTGAAGCTCCGGTCCATCATGAAGATCAGCAAGGTGAGCGCGCGGAGCGCAACGAGTCGCAATGCCGATGTGTGTCGAGCACGTGCAAAGGACGGTTCCCGCCCCGCCTCAGCCCCAAGTCCGATTCGAGCCGACGTACAGGCTGGACCCGCTGCGGCCGTTCCGCGGCGACCGCGCGCGCTCCCTGGTGCAGCAGGCGTTGGAGGTGGGCGTAGCGGGTGCGACGTACTCGGAGCAGTGGGCCACGGACGCCAGCCGCATCCTGGCCGCCTACATCACGCAGTGCGTCAAGGGGCTGGACACGTACGCGCCGTGCAGGTGAGTCTGCGGCAATGAAACCAACCCCAGGCCGCGTCGATGAATGATTGTCGCCGACTCTTTGGTCGCGGGGCCAGGTACAAGATCGGCACCCAGGTGTCCGTGATGGAACGGCACTCTCAAGGCGTGCGCACAGAGCTCGGCGTTCTCTGGGACCCGGACCGGGACCGCTTCATCGCGGCCAGCGTGGAGACCACGACGATGGTGGCCTTTGCCGTCGTGTACGCCGTGTACTGGGACTGACCCGCACCGAAGAGAACGCGCCCCTCCTGACTCAGCCCCCCCCCCCCCGAAATACAAAATTCTTGCAAAGATCATAATCACCCCAACAGCGCCACGGCGTGTCCGATAGATAGGAACGCGATTTCAAGCGCGGATCCTTCCTCAGAATAAGAACGTCCGGGGCGTGGGTATGCAACCGGCAGCCCGGCGTGCGAGGCGGGCTTGCCTACCCTCCTATCCGCGGGCGCTGGCCGGTCGGGAGCATCCTGTAGCTGGCGGGGCGGGGCCCCTCTCAGTGCCGGGGCGGCCGGGCCCCGAGGGGGCTGATGATACCCGCAGGGTTACAGTTAGTAGCACCGGCACCGCCGAGCTAATTACAGGAGACACGAGGAGGCGGCGCGGTGCAAAAGGGGCAGGGAGAGCCAGAGAGAGGGAGAGAGAGAGAGAGGATGCAGAGGAGCGCCATGGAGACGCCAGGGGCCGGAGCCTGCGAGACGGGCAGAGAGAGAAGAGAGCGGGGTGGAGCGAGAGAGAGACACAGTCGCGTGGCTGCGGTGAGAGAGAGGCAGGCAGAGAGGTGTTGCTGCGGCGGTGCTGACGGGAGCGGCGGCGCGGCGGCCACCAGGCTCAAGCCGACCAGACTCGGCGCGGCTCGGCCCGGCCCGGCACGCTACGCGCGCTGCTCGGCTCGGCGGGCGGCTGGCGCTGGCGGCTCCATGTTGTTAGTCTTAGTCAACTCGCAGGACCCGGCGAGGCAGGACGCACGCCCCACGCTGCTCGGTTCGCCATAGACACGGTCGTCGTCCCTAACCTCCTCTCCGTCCGCCCGTCGTCGGCCGGACTTCTTTGACGGCCAGCCCCTTGGGGTCGAGGTTGACGCGGCGCCGAGCACGGCCGTTGCATGGCCCCTCGCGAGGACCGCGATAGTGTGGGCGAGAGATCGCCCTCTCGAGCGTGTTTGAACGGCGTTCAGAGCGCGTTCTGAACTTGGCCTCATTCTGACGGAGAACGTGAACCCCTCCGAGAGGGAAACGTCTGTGCGGCCGTCGGGCTTATTGTACCGCGAGTGAATAAGTACAGAAGAGGAACAGTATCAGTGCCCTCCTGTGGATTACTTTTGGATTAATATGCAATGCACACGTGAGTTGAGATTGGCGCTGTGGTCTGGGCATGCAAGGTTTTTTTTTCGTTTGGTATTTTGTAAGCTTTTGGTGCCCTCCTGCCGCTTAGCACTAGATTTGTCTTAACTTTCCCTTATTTCCATCATCGTGCTCGTGGCGGTTTATTTCTAGACATGTTGTACGCGTGAGACACACGAGAGAGAAAAGTGCTGTACAGGCAACTACCGCCGCCTAGTCCTCTCGGCGTGAGATGTTATTTTTACCCTCGAACCAAAATAGGAGAAATGTCAAGCTTGCGCTAGGAATATCCTGGTAGTGCCTAGAGCGAGAGAGACCGGGGGGGGGGGGGCACAGAGACAGACCCGCCGCCGTCTTTTGTCCGGGACCCGTTTCCTCAAAATGTGTCTAATGTGACAAGGAGGGGGGGGGGGTGCCGGGCGGTGCATGGCCTTTGAGTGGCCGCCCCGCTCCGGCGGCCTCCACCTCCAGCCGCTCCAGCCCAGCCGACGAGCCCAGCCTCCAGCCGAGCCCAGCCTGCCCGGCCCTGCCCACCTGGTGGAGGGGTCCCGCTGGGCCCTGAGCCTGGTGTGGGTGGTGGGTCCCCCTGCACTGCTCGGCCTAGGCCTGGAGCTCGTTAACGCCTCTCTCCAGGGGCCTCCAGGGTCTTCGCCGGCTCCAGATCTGGACAACGAGCCCGGCAAACACGGATCGCCACACCGGGCCGATTGGAGTGATGAGTGATATCGGGCGGCGGGGCCAAACGCGCCGCTATCTCTAAGAGGCCGCGCCGCCCGCCCGGCGAGTCTCGGCCGAGTAGAGGCACTTGACCAAAACGATAGGCGCAGCCCAGCGCGGCCGGCCGGCCGGTCACAGAGGCTGGTGCGCGGTGCGCGCTTGCGGGCTCTGCAGGAGCAGCGAAGCAGCAGCACCCTCCCGAAGGGAAGGTCCTAAGGGTCACAGGCAGCCGCCCGGCCCGGCCGTCAGGGAGGCAGGCGGGGTCGTAATGTCGCCCGCCGTGCCCTGCCGCCGGCCCGGCCCGGCCCGGCCCCGCCGTACCGTGCCCTCCTCCTCTTTGGCCTCCTCGAGGCGCGGCGGCGGCGGCGTTGTCACGTCGCACGAGTGCGCTCGGCGCTCCTTTGAGCGAGCGGCGGGATCCCTCTGAGCCCGGCAACGCCGCCGCGTCCCATCCGCACCGCCAGAGCCGCCGCCCCGCCCCGCGCCGCCCCGCCCGCCCCGCGCCGGACCCGCACGGGCGGGTAGGGGCCACGCTGCGCTCACGCTACGCCCCGCGCCACGCACCCGCCGGTGCCAAGTCCGAGGAGGTGCCACCTGTTGCGTTGACGGCGGCGTCATGAATGGAGTGAGTGCGGGACGTGCTGCGGCGGGCTGAGGCTCGCCGGGCGCGGGTTCGAGTCCCGCCGCGGACCGGCCCTACAGCATGCCGACGTTCGCCTCCGCCGCCCGCCCCGCTCCGCCGCAGCGGTCCTCGCCGTGAGCTGCCCATTCGTCTTGAAAATTCGATGGATCGGAACATATCCTGATTCTGGGAATCGGCCGTATGGGTGTTGTAGGCACAGCCGGCCTGGGCGGCCGGGGTCGGGCGGGGCGGGCCGGGGCGGGCCGCCAACACAGGGCCGCCGAGCCGAAGCACACCGTAAAAAAGAGGATGGGCATTCCTGGATGGGGCCGGGGATTTTCAGCTCAGGTTTTGTAGGGAAAAGAGGGGCGATTATACTTTACGCAACTGGCGGCGTTCCGGGAAGAGGCCGACACACTCACACTGGCACCCGTACGCACACGCGCGCTCTACGACGCCGTGAAGTGGATTAGGCCGGGCACGGCTGCCGCCGCCTCGGTGAGGCCGACATGCAGATGCCCCAGAATGGCCGGCGGATCGGCGTGGACCTCGGGTGCCGAGCCAGATTTGCCGCCAACTCTTGGTCAGAATGCGGGCGGGGTTCCTTCCGCCAGCAGTGTGGGGCCCGGGCCGGGCGGGGCGCCCCTCTCGAGTGGCGGGGCAGGCCCGGGCCACCAGGGCGATGGCTCTCCGTCTCGCTCGCACTCGCAGACGGACCGCGCGAGCGGCCGGCTGGGGCCCCAGGGCCAGGGCCCCACCCCAGCGCCTTGTTGTAGACGAGTTCCGTGTAAAGCGCGCGCCCCGGCCGGCCCGCCCGCCCTCCTAGAATCCATCATTCAACGCGCGCACGGCACTCGGCCCGGACCGTCAGAATGTATGACTCAACTCAACGAGCCCCTAAATAAAGGAAGGCGCTGGGCAGAGATCGGATCTGCCATCGGGCCAGCGTGCCGCGGACGGACAAGCCCATCTCACCGCGCAACTCACTCCACACACCACCGCAAGCCGCCTTCTTTCATTCCACCCTTCTTACTCTGTTTTGTCTTACTCCCCCCACCGACACCACCCCATACACCGGCCTGGAGTGGGCGTCTAGGTCGGAATGCCGCCGGGTCGTCGAGTCGCAGAAAGAGACCCCCCAAAGCACGCCGTCCGGGCGGCGATGATAGTTTCGCGGTATCTCCCCCGGTCGCCGTCCCGTCGGTGGCGGCGATTTCTCCGAGTGTAGCCGAGCCGAGCAGGGGGTTGGGGCCGGGCCACAGGCCAGGTGGAGCCGAGCCGGGTCGGGCCGGACCGGGCCGGTCTGTGGTTTCTGCGAACCTGCCGTGCCGCTGCGGGGGCGGGGAGCAGCCTGCTGAGCAGGAGCAGCAGGACGGCACAGTCCGCCTACCGCACCGGCACCGCCTTCCTTGCACCGCGTGCGTGCCGCTCGGCGTGCCGCGCA